GATCAGTGTGATTCAAGCAGACCAGGCTCCAGTATGTGGTTTCTCTCTCCTACTGCTGCACAATAATGCCCTGTGTCTGTATTTAGTGGACTGGTCTGAAACTGTGGGGAAGAGGGAGGCTGAAAAACTAGCTGGGAGACATGCCCAATAATGCAATTTGACTGAGTTTAGAGTGATTTTATGACTGTTTATTATACATCTTTCAATGTTTTTTTGCTTTATTTTGGTTTGTATATTTGTTTAAAAGGGTTTGCTTGTTGGTTTAAAAAAAATGTCAAAATGCCCCTTTAACTTTCTAAATGCCCAGACCAGAAAATGCAAAAGGTAGATATATCAATCTCTAAACATTTCAATGCAGAACAAAAGGGACACCCTGGGTTTGATCTAACTCCTGTTTAAATGCACTATATAAATAATGCAATAAAAGGCAAAAATACATTAAATGAAAATAAAAAATAATACATCCTAACAAAAAAAATCATTTTTTTTGGTGTATTTTTTAATAAACCTCACAGGTATAAAAATGAGGGGATGGATTTATGGCTGCAGTGATTTTGTAAATATGTGTACTAAGAAACAGTTTTCAGGTCATTGGAATTGCTTGCACCATAACCTGTTACTTTGCCTTTGGCAGTAGACATGTACATTCATATTCTTAAATGGATTCTATAGTTACCAGAACCACTACAGCTTTAGTAATGGTTCTGGTATCTATAGCCGGTCCCTGCAGGCTAAGCACTGTGAACTCTGCCTTTTCAGAAAAAAAGCAGTGTTTACTTTGCTGCTTACGAACACCTCTAGTGGCAGTCATCTAGGTGTCCACTAGAGGTGCTTCCTAGTCCAGTGCTGCACAGAGCATCATCATGCTCTGCATGGAGGCACTGAATGTTCCTCATAGAGAGGCATTGATTCAATGCATCTCTGTGAGGAGATGTTGACCGTTGCAGCACTGAGTTTTGCTATCTGAAAGCATTGGATAGGCTAAGATCATAAAGACTGGTGATCTCAGCCATGGAGGTAAGATCAGCAGTGGTTAGACTGGCATGGCGTGGGAAAAAAGGTGGGTTTGTATTTCTGACACTATAGTGTTCCTTTACGGATTACAAAATGACTGGAAATGTTTGGTCATTTAGTCAGAAAAAGAATTCAAAGCAGCCATTAACAGAATAAAAGAATGGCTTATGGACCAAATTAATTCAGACATTCCGTCAAGCAGCTACTGGTTGCTCGCTATTTAGCAGATATGCCCCCTGGCGAGCATGGGCAAGGGTAGGTGTAAAACTGTCCATGTCTTGCCCTCAATCACCCTTGCACAAGTTTCTGCTCAGTCACTAGGAATATATTCCCTCCCATGCCCCTAACCACTAATTTATAGAATGGGCCGCACCCACCCATGGCCAACCAACCATTGGTCTCTGACTAAAATTGCATAACATGGGAAAAATTCTCACGCTATGCCATATCAGGTAAAGAGCTCTGATTTATAAGGCCTTTACACGCTCTGCAACCTCAGTCTGACAGAGGGATTTTTTTTTTATTGCATTAGTTTTTTTCTTGCATTTTTTTTTGTTTTTACATCTGCTTATTTTTTTGTCAAATTTTAATAGTCATGTTGGGTTATTCTGGAATTTATTTTGCCCAGTGGCTGTTCATAGGTTAGCAGACTTTTCTTTTCTACATTTTTAATGTGGCAGCTTAGTACTCCATTTGCCAGGAGACATGAGAGTGCAACACTGAGGTCTATGGAGGATTCCACAAACCCGCAGGCCCATCTCCATAGTTGATGTATCATGATGAGCGATATGATATCTGAATCACACAGCAATCTTTTGTGACAGCTCTAGGATTGGGAAAAAGTTGATGGTGAAGCTCCATTTTTTTGTCGTCTTTTGTGAGCCTCCGGCTAGTCTATAGGACAAAGTAGATCCTATTTTGGAATTTTTGGATTGTCTTGGATTTTCAATGAAATTCAACACAGTCAGCATTAAATATTTAATTAAAGATTATATCTCTATGAAATACTAGGAAGTGAAAGAGACAATGTTATTCACAATATTTAAAAATCCCGTTATTAATAGACTTATTAATGGCAAGAATATTTGGCACACTCTAACCAGTTTTTCCTAAAGTAGATAATTTTTCAGTAGACCTGAAATTTGGCCAGATATCTAATTAGCTCTGCAGAATTTTGGAACTGCTGTTTCAGTTTGAGAGTCAAATTAGAAAAACAAAAAAATACATGATAACTGACCAATCAGTGTTCTGTAAACTATATACATAATGTAATATTGTGTCTATTTTGCATTAAGGTGATACGAGTATTTTCCCTTCACTTGGTTCACAGATGAAGTGTGAAAAAGTAACCAATAAAGGGAGAAACAGGAGCAGCAGTAAAAAGCCTAAATGTATGTCGTTATTTATTATATATTAAATATATTTTTTTTAATGCTACTCTTTTTTCTCTTTATTGCTCACTTCTCACTTTATTTGTGAATAAATACAACATTTAGTGACTGTCCTATAGCCATATTTCATGTTTTCCCCTATCAATTATCTCTTTTTTTTGTGCAAACGTAGCGAAGCACCCCTCCAATGTACGTAGTCAAATAATTTAGTAATAGTTTGACTAGTTACCTGGGGCCTGTGCCGCTTCCTGCGTCTCTGCAGCCAGAAACGAGAACCGGATGCTCCTAAAAGTAGCTGCTTTTTGCTTTCCTGAGCTAAGCCTTGCTGTAGCTGTACTGCCGTGTACTGCACCGTGAAGTTACACCTGCAGAGAGGCAGAGACTGCCATCAGTGATACCACAGAAAGCAAATGGTTTGATTACTTACAATGTGGGGGCGTCAAAGCATATGACACCATAACCACCACAGTGCGATGGAGTCATAATGGTGCCTGCAGTGTCCCTTTAACAAGCATACAAGTATTCTCAAAGCAATTCATATTTTTTTCTTTTTTTTTTTCTTTTAATGTGTGTTACACTAACTTTTTCAGATTTATTTCTAAATAATGTTAACAGAATACAATACCTGTAGCAAGACTTGCTTTCGTTTAAGAAACATTTAGGGTAAAATATACTAAACACTAAAAATGAACTTGACTGCTGACCCATAATCCATGTCCACACCGTTGCCCCCCCAATAACACACCGGACACCTTCTTAGTGGATAAGGGCAACGGCCACAGCTTTATTAAATTTACAACTTTTAACATTACCCAAATCTGTCAGCTGTTGAGCGGTTGCCCAACAGACAGTTCCCCCAACCTTTTTCCATGAGCCTAAACAGCCGGCACTCCGCCATCAGCTCCCGTGTGGGCTGTCATCTCCCCAAAGCGACTCTTCATCTTAACCTTTTCATTTGCGCTGTCCAGGATACCGCCAAGCTGTGACAAAACAGAAAACAAAGCCAGACACCAAACAACCAACATGGTGGGTGGGTGGGCGGGAAAGTCAGTATTCTCCTGTCCCTTGTCTCTGCTGACTAGTGAGTCTTCTCCCCTGGCCTCTTACCAAACTGACCAATTTGCAATATTGTATAATTTTACTGAGAATTTTAAGGCAAGACAGGAGGCTTCATATTTGCTTATCTTTCTTTACTGAAACTCCCAGCAGCAAAGAAACAGTTAACATTAGTGTAAAAAAATTCAACCAATCAGAATGCATTACAGTAATATACAGTGCCATCAGACTCCTCCCAACTCCTCTTTCTTTGCTCCCAGGTGAGTCAATTCTGATTACACTGCCTTAATAATTTTAGTTTGTCAATATTTTTTATATTTTATATATATTTATTTATTTATTTATTTCCTTTTTATTTTTTTCTGGTACTTTGTATATTTTCAATTTCTAGTATATATTTGTGTTACCTCACCATATTGATTTCTGGTTAGACTGATTTTTATCTTGTCGGGCCGTTTTTGTATAACTGCCCCCAGGGTTTTATCGCAGTTTCTTTTCTCTCTTGAGGCCTTCACAGCCTTTTTTTTTTGACCCGCCTCCTCACATCTCCCACATATCATCACAGCCGTGGACTCCACCTCCCAGAAAGCCACAACACAATTTTGCGCCCTTTTTCAGGGATCTTTCCCTGTGATGCGATCTCTCCTCCTACCGGTATTACTGCGGCCATCTTGTCCTTCTTCCGTTTTTTTCCCGCCTTTTTTCTCCGGCGCATTAACGGACAACACTGTGGGCACATCCACTTATATCTTTCGCCTGTGGTACGTTTTTACTCTCCAATACATCCCAATACTGCTGCTTCATTCTAAAGGGCTCTTGTGGGTGACCCCCACTATTTATTTTCATACTGACTTTGTGGCTAAGTATCATACTATACTTGATGTTCTATCACCTAATCTCATAAATTGTGGATAATCACACTCACATTAACAAACCTAATGTGGTAAACTCCACCTCTTGTCTTACTACACCCACTACTTTTTATTGCCATCCACTGTTTTACTTTGTGGGTGACCTCCACTGTTTTGTCTCAGGGGCAGGGGCTTACCTAAAGCATTTGGCACCCTGGGCTGGTCCTCGTTTTGGCGCCCCTCCTGCACTTTAAAATGTAAAAAACTGACATGCCAGACGGGCTGCTGGGCGGGTGGCACTGGCGAGCGGCCGGCGAGGGAGCACTTTCCCTGAGCTGTCTGCTCAGCTCCCTCGGGCGCCGCAGAGTGAGGCTGGGAGCCGGAATATGACGTCATATTCCGGCTCCCAGCCTCACTCTCCGGCGCGTGAGCGAGCTGAGCAGACAGCTCAGAGGAAGTGCTCCCCCGCCAGCGCCGCCCGCCCAGCAGCCACTGGACCCCCAGGTATAAAGAGTTAGTGTGTGTGTGTGTCTGTTAGTGTGTGTCTGTTAGCTAGTGTATGCGTATCTGTCAATGACTGTGTGTGTGTTTGTATTTAGGGGCCGGGGGGAAGGGTTGGGTGGAGGTGGCGCCTGAGTTTTGTCCTGCCTAGGGCAGCACAAATCCAGGATACACCACTGGATATATACAGACACTGATACACATGCAGATACAGACACACAGAGACACACATATACACATATGCAGCTACACATACACATACACAATGCCATCCTCCTGTTTCGTACCTGCTGGCTGGGGCTGTTGGGAGTTGGGCTCTGGTTCTCTCCCAATCAGTGTCGCCCTCCATCCTGCGTGTCTCAGTATTAGCTGGGAAGAAGTGACTGAATTGGGCTGCCATTACATTATTACAGAATCCTGGTCACACTATTAAAGTACCACAGCGCACAACTGGGCCCCTGAAGCAGTGGTGACTGTAGGAACAATATATAGGGGAGGCACATAAACAAGGGGGGCTGGGAGCATTAATAATTTTCACTAGGTAATGGGGTAATGTGCTGCCATTGGCTGTCTGATGATAGCATGTTGTGCATGCTGGCATCAGACAACACATTTGCATAGCATTCACATTAGCCACCCCGATTTCTGGGATGGCTGACACCTCTTTACTTTGATCTTTGTTTAGCGTATAACTCCCCTATTTGTTATCCTTATGTGGGATTGCCATATCTAAGGACACCAAATAAGGGTGCTATCTGCTAAACAGCATCCTAATTTAGTATCTTTACATATGGAATCTCACATCAGGGCACAGATTTAGGGAATTATCTACTAAACAGCTAAAAGATCAAAATTTAAAAAGCCCTTTTCTCAATTTTAATCTTTCGGTCGTTTAGTAGATAACTCACTTATTTGTTATCCTTATGTGGGATTGACATATTTAAGGACACCAAATTAGGGAGCTATGTACTAAACACACACACAACCACAGATATATACACGCATTTAGTTATTAAGAGGTCCAACCAACCTCCCTACCTTGCTCTGGGAGTGCTGGACTGGATCCTCCCCCTGTTGACTAGAGGCTGCTGCTGGGCTGGGATCTCTGTTCCCCTTCTGCACAGCTCACTCATATGACCAGTAGTGATGCCAATGCCAGGATCACGTCATATCCTGGCTGCTGGCTTACTGCGGGGCGCGCACAAGCTCCTATATGGTCCATAAAAAATGTTTAATCTCACTGCCTCTCAGTATATATCTGTCTTAGCCCCTTGTGTGAAAATGTGTGTTTGTGATAGCCTATGTACATGCAATGTGTGTGAATGTGAGCCTGTGTATAATGTGTCTATGTGACAGTGGGGGAACAGTTTTATGTGCCTGGGACTTAGTGTGTGATATTGCATAGACATGTGCAATTTGTTTCGGTCCGAATTAAAATTCATTCGGACATTCGGGTGCTTCTACAGGTGACTGGTGACAGAGTGACTGAGGGGGGGGTGACTGGCGACTGAGGGTGGGGGGTGACAGAGTGACTGATGGAGGGGGTGACTGTTGACAGATGGAGGGGGTGACAGAGTGACTGAGGGAAGGGGTGACAGAGTGAAAGGGTGACTGGTGACAGATTGACAGAGGGAGGGGTTGACAGAGTGACTGAGGGAGGGGTGACTGGTGACAGAGTGACAGAGGGAGGGGGTGAGGGTATTATAATTAGGTGGGGTGAATTTACAATAATATTATCTTACCATTCAGGGGCTGTCTCTCTCCATCCCAGCCCAGCCCAGAGTCAGGCAGTGCAGCAGGTGCAGGCAGAGTGGCCGCGCAGGGGAGGAACCTGTCCGAATAAACGCTCTGCGCCCCCTGCTTTTACACTCCATAACAACCTCCCTGGTGCTCAGTGATAACTCAGAACACAGACTGGGAATCCCCTCCCCATGTTCTGATTCACTGACTGAGCGCCGGAGCCGCAAGAGAGAGGATTACTATTGCAACCAGCAGGAGCTACAGAGTGTGGCACCTCCCTACTGAGTGGTACCTGGGGTATTATTAAACCCTAATGCAGGCTTGGGTATCCCTAAGCCTGGATGCTTCAGGTTTCCCATTCTATGTCCCTAGAATAATCCGGCACCCACGCTCTGCCGAGTGGGCTCTGCCAGACCACATAGCTAATTTCTGCAGAATGTGGCTGCGCAGGCCCTTAGAGAAAGAAATTAGAGCAAAATTGAGGGCTGAATGCCCCAAGCCAACTAATCCTGATAAAGTTGCCTCCTTTTTGGAAACCTGGCCTTCTAACGAGGCCTTATTGCTACGCCAAATTGGCCCTGCTTTTGTGCCTTGTGTTTTTTCGCAGAGTTTCTGATGTTCAGGCCTTTGGCTCTCACATAGTATTTTTCTCATCAGACGGAGTCAGATTTACCATTACCAGGTGTACAAAGATGAATTCCTCATTTTTTTTTACCTTAACTTCCTGGACAGACCGTCTCTCTGCGTTGCCAGTTGTACCCGTCAATACATTTACAGCACAACTAATCTACGTTGTTCTTCGGGACCGCTGCTCATTTCTTATGTTAGACTGCACAGACCAGTCTCCTCGCTGGATCAGATGGTTGCTCCATAATGCAGGAATTGACCAATCTTTTGGTGCTCATTCGGTTAGAGGTGCTGCCGCATCTTCTGCGGGCAGTTCTTTGTCGGATATTTTCTCTTCCGCAGGTTGGTCCAGAGAATCCACCTTTCAGACCTTTTATTTCAAACCTACGACTCGTGCTGCTTTTTCTATTATAGAAGAGCATTAAAAAAGCAAATATGAAGCCTCCTGTCTTGCCATAAAATTAGGGATTATTCTAGTTTAAGCGACCGAATAATCTAAATTTTATACGGAATCTGTTGGCGCTATATAAATGGCAATAATAATAATAATAATAATAATAATATTAAAGACAGGAGGCAAATATTTTCCTTACCTTACAATAGTTTTCTCCCACCCTTCAAGGTCTCAGACGCTAATATTTATTTGTTCACTCCGGATTACTAGGTTAGTCGTATACCAGTTGTTATATCATATGCTATTGCCTTACTGTGTGGACTATAGTTCAGTTGTTAGATTGTTTAATATAACAAACTCATATTTCAATTAATGTTAAAATTACATGTGAGTACTGAATTTCTCTTACCCAAGAGACCATACTTTCATGGTTCTCTCTCTTTTTCTCCTAGTATGAAGTTTTCGCATTGACTCTGCAGGGAGTTTCTAATCTGTTTTGGTACAGTTCGTTTACCTGGTTGGCATCATAAGGATCTACTGAATCTACTGTTTCGTTGATAGTTTCGTTTACAAGGTTGATGTTATTACAGTTCCGCAACATCAAGAAAGAAGAATTGGGAGGAGTCTGATGGCACTGTATATTACTGTTGTGCATTCTGATTCTTACACTAATGTTAACTGTTTCTTTGCTGCTGGGAGTTTCAGTAAAGAAAGATAAGCAAATATTTGCCTGCTGTCTTTAATAAAATTTAGATTATTTGGTCACTTAAACTAGAATAATCCATAATTACCATGTTTCTTGCTAAAATTACTTTAATAAAAACTGTAGTTTCATTTGAAATACATTGTATGAAGGCATGCAATGGGAGAATTGTCACAGTTTCAAAGTCTCACCTTAAAGTTCGCAACACATTTCGATTGGCACTGTTCCATGAAGCAGCTCTAAGAACAGAAAAGTCATGATTTTAAGATTATGTTTAATCTACTGTGAGCTAATTAACTTTTTTTTTACGCATAAGTAGAGGTTACATACTTGAACTTAACTTGGTTCTTTTAAACTTTTTTACTTGCAGTTTTTACCTTTTACAAATTCACAGTAGAATACAATGAGCACAGCAGAATGAAGTTTGTACAGTGAAAATTGCATAACAAAGTTTTGTGCATCATATAAAGGACATTGTATAGACAAGAGGTTGTTAGGAGCGTTGGTGGTAACATAACAGTTGCAGTGTGACGTTTTCTTCCCTCTAATATAGACCATGTAGGCAGTGTTGCCTTCCTTAGTCTGTGATCTCTGAGTGTTGTGCATTCATTTTGTAAGTGCTGACTAAAGGTCTAGACTTTTACTGCTGGGAATTAAACTGGGGAGAATCCACCGAGTGGAGGAGAAGCGGAAGAGTGGCGATGGGAGGGGGAGGGGGTCCATATTGCTCTGTTCATCTAGCTTTAGGTATGGGTGATCATGGCTATCTGCCCTTAATGGGTAGCCAAATGGTTTGGTCTTATACCCAGATGTGTGGATACCTGGTCTCTTGCCCTAGGCATTCTTCTCTGGGGTCCTGGGTGGGCCAATATATGAACCTTTGGGCGGTTGTTTGGTTCTTTTACATTTAAAAAATAAATATTTAATGAATACCTAAAGGGGCCCAGTCACTTCTATATTAAAATAAATCTGATCCTTACAGTAAATTAGACTTTACCTTAAATGTGCAAGCAGCAATGCATCTAGTATCATTTGCTTGTCCAAAGCATACATCAATTATGGAAATATTAGCCATAATGTTTTCTTAAAAATATATATACTTATTGTGCCTGGCAAGCAGGTGAAATGGTCAATTAACCCCTAGGCTATTAGTATAGAGAGGCTGTGCGCTGCAGCCTCACATCATTCATATGGAGGTTAAAATAACAGGAGGCACATGAGGATGTCTGTTTAAAAAGTACTGCAACAGTAAGGCAGAGGACGAAGTTTTGTGTATTTTGGGTTTGTGTATGGGCTGGTGACCCACAATGTCAATATGGATGTTCCCATGTATAATGCAATGTTCAGGGCTGACCAGACTGCCAGATTAATGTCAATGGAAGTGTTACAAGTAGAAGCAGACTGAGATGAGAATGTGCTAAAGAAATCCGTAACAGACACTAGTTGTCAATGTTGGCAATGGAGTTATTTAATTTATATATTTAATTATTTATTTACAATCTCATTTTATTGTGAATACTTTATCATGCTGCAATATATTCCACCATTGGGAGGTATGGAATCAGTACTGGTGAATCAACATTTGGTGGGGGAGGAAAGGGGCAAACATCACCAATAATGGTGACATCAATAATGGGCAAACCAAACAAGAAATTGGGTGGAGCTGCCCACTGAATGGGAGTGTCAGCCTTGCATCAAGCAAACCTGGCTGACAAACAGCTCCTGGATGGCCTCCAACATACAGGACCATGCAGATAGTGCTGATGAATCATTATCTGCATGAACCAAGTGCAAGCTGCACCTTGAGATCATCTCTAATGATATTCTCATGCTGTGTTCCCTGATCTCCCTGGATGTGGACACCAGTGAATAAAATTGGAACAGTGGGACATGTATCTAAATATCATGGAAAAACCAATGGTTGGTCATTGGTAATTGGTTGCAGGGATATATGATGTTACACCATGAATCTCCAGCAGCCTACATCTCTCAGATCCATATAGTGCATGTTTTGTGTGAATAGGACAATCCATATCATGAGATATATGATTTCAATGCTCAAAAAGGGTTTGTTTCGGGAACCCCAAGACAAAAGTTGCCAGCCCTCTCTTGATGCTCCTTTTTATTTCACCTAAAATATAGCAGGATGTATTCTAAAGAAGAAACGACCAGAATATGTTATACAATGTTCCATTATCTCAGAAACTGGTATGTGATTTTAATTTTTTTGTAAGGTATCCTAAGACCAATCTTTCTCCTCCGCTTGCTCAGTGTTGAGTACTTTGACAATGGTAATTGTACTCATACATCATGAAAACTCACTGTAAAAAAGCAAAATAAAAAACAAACAGGTTTACAAGCAATAGGACAAAATGTGTCATTTTTTTTTTTAAGTGTGTACTTTGAGGCATTATGATTCACTACTGTAAAGAAGAATAAAGGTTCTTATTACATCCAATAACAGGGAGGAATGAAAAAGGAAAATAATAAAAAAATAAACAACTTTGTACAAAAACTGCAATTTAGCCATTACATGCTTTTTTTTTCCTTCCTGCAAAATTAATCAATAATTTTTCACTTTCAGAAAATTTTTATAAAGAATGTCATATGTTATTACATGTTAGCTCACACTCCCATTAGAAGTTCCTAATACTGCAAATAGATGCTAATTGATTTTTTTAACAGCACATTTACTGCATGCAGTGGTCAGCTGACGCATTGGCATAACAGTAACACTTTATTTTACATTTAGATTGTCATCGATGGTTTCTTTCTAGTAAACATGCAAATCACATACAGTAAGTGCCCAAAATAAGGATGTATAATGAAAACAATTCAGCTGAATTATGTCTAATGAAGTAACATTACTTCTCATGACTATTATAGAAAATGGTCAGTAAATATTTAAGACACATAGGGTGCTACATATGCAACTGTGAATCCTGAACAGAGAAGTATTTTTGACAAGGTGAGTGTAAATAGGTTACTACAACTTTCCTATAGCTAGCTCATCTGAAGATCAAACATTTCGATAGATACAGGTGATACTCGAAAAATTAGAATATCGTGCAAAAGTTCATTTATTTCAGTAATGTAATGTAAAAGGGGAAACTAATATATGAGATAGATGCATTACATGCAAAGCAACATAGTTCAAGCTGTGATTTGTCATAAGTGTGATGATTATGGCTTACAGCTCATGAAAACCCCAAATCCACAATCTCAGTAAATTAGAATATTGTGAAAAGGTGCAATATTCTAGGCTCACATTGTCCCACTCCAATAAGCTAAGTAAGCCATAACACCTGCAAAGGAATTCTGAGCCTTTAAATGGTCTCTCAGCCTGGTTCAGTAGGAATCACAATCTTGGGGATGACTGCTGACCTGACAGTTGTGCAGAAAACCATAATTGACACCCTCCATAAGTAGGGAAAGCCTCAAAAGGTAATTGCGAAGGAATTTGGATGTTCCCAAAGTGCTGTATCAAAGCACATTAATAGAAAGTTAAGGGAAAAGTGTGGACAAAAAAAGGTGCACAAGCAGCAGGGATGACCGCAGCCTGGAGAGGACTGTCAGGAAAAGGCCATTCAAAAGTGTTGTGGACTTTCACAAGGAGTGGACTGAGGCTGAAGTCAGTGCATTAAGAGCCACCACACACAGACGGATCCTGGACATGGGCTTCAGATGTCGTATTCCTCTTGTCAAGCCGCTCCTGAACAACAAACAATGTCAGAAGCGTCTTACCTGGGCTAAAGAAAAACAGTAATTGTAATTGTTGCAAAAGGGGCCCAAACCAAGTACTCAGTCCATATGCATGCTTATACTTTTCAGAACTTTTGCATGATATTCTAATTTTTCGAGTATTAGCTGTATGTTAAAACATTGTGCCTGTGTTTATTAACATCACTGAATGTGGTAAAATCTTTCCTGTCATCCAAAAATATTTTTTAAGGAAGCTGAATTTTGACCATATGGCAGTTTGACATATTTCAGTAACTCAGTAATACAGAGTTGTAGTGTCTTTGCAAAAGTTGCTTCCTACTAGCATTAATGAGACGTTCTTTAACTCTTCCCCTACTCACTTCCTCGCAACATAATTTACACTTTAGAATTCTCTCTTTTGTGAGGCTGTCAAATTAATGTCAATCTTTGCTGCGGCACAATATATTAGCCTCAACCTTTCACCTTGTAGCTAATGAATTTACATTGGGGGCAGTGGAAGCTGTAGCAACAGTCGCTTGTATACTAGAACTTAATAGATTATTAATGGCAATGAGAAGGGAGGTTGTGGTGAGGTTATTGTTGCACTGGTACAAAATGATGCTTCAATTGTTTCCATCAAATGAGGAAATTCAACAGCAGATAGAGATGGACTTAGAAAATAATGGCAAGTGTACAGAAGGTGCAGAAAATATTGCACTGCTGCCTCTGCAATCCAGACTCTTCTCATAACCAAGTTCCTCCTGTGACAGACTTAAACAAATGTCATATTCATCACCAAAATCAAGACTAGATTTTGTCATATTCATCACCAAAATCAAGACTGGGGCCCCCTAATCACTCCTTGGGTACTCTGCTCTACCTCTTTGGTGAAGGTAGTCTATGATGGCGCCGAAAAAAAGTCTCTGCTGAGCTCTCCCTTAGTTGATATTTGGTGGTGGTGGTGTCTAAAAAAAAGTAGTAGGTAACTTTGGTAATGGCAAAATCCCTTGCTTCCACCACCATAAAGCACAGGCGGTGTAGTGCTTGAACTAGCTATGGTAGAAGGAGCTGCAGTGAAAGCAGCAGAAGTTATCGTGCGGCTGGAAGTCAAGTTTGTGAGCCTAGCTGACCAGGTCTCCCACACGCACCCAGGCACTGCAATGGTAAAACACACAGCCACAGATGGTCTATCTCTTTCAGTACATGCAGTCAGTGTCGATTTTCC